TAAGAGTTCTAAAATTTGTAAAATTAAAAATGCACCTATAGGTAGGTATACCTATTTAAATTTAACAACCATTATTTTTTTTTATGTATAAGACACTATTAAAACTATAGTTTTAATAGTGTCTATATATAGAAATTACACTCATTTTTAAAATATGGCGTTAACAAAAGGATAATTAAAGGTTCATGTAAGTTTTATATACAGCACTCAATGGTTTTTTAGTCTTATTAACTTGTTACTGAAAATTGCCTTATATCAGTGCCGGTTTAACAGGGGTTTTTTGGGGACTATAGCACCGGGCGGTAAATATTTTTGGGGCGGTACCGCGTACCGCCCATAATTAAAAAAAAATACTTAATCGTTAGAATTTAGAAAAAAAATTATTGCGACACTGCGTCGGCGGATAAAACGGATACAAATGAGAAAAATGTTGTTAGAGTTAAAGCAGCTTCTCCATCAGAAAAACTTGATTTATTGGAAACGGAATAATTTGAACTTTTTGGATAGACGTTTTGCAAAGGGTTAATGAAACCAATAAAGCAGTCCAAAAACAAAATATGGATTTAAGCACAAATGCTCATCTTTTGTCATTTTTAGTTGAGAACTTTGATTTTTTACGTGATATCATTTTGATCATTACGAGGAAATTAACAGGAAACGAAAATTATGCTCAGAAGCGGATAATCATAAGAAAATTACAATTTGAAGAAAATAATTCAGAGGCAAGTTTAAGCAAAAAAGAAACAATGCGAACAATAGGTTTTATTTTAATAATTGACAATCTATAATCCGAAATCATTTGTCGATATGATAGCTAGAAATCTGGCACAAACAAATTTGAATTTTTGTTTAATCTAAAAGAATAAATCTTCGTGGAGGATTTGGATGAGTTTTTTCCTCAAAAATGTGTCCAACTCAAGAAACTGGTAACTTCCCTTTCGGAAATAAAAATAGAAACTCTATTGGAAGTTTTATACGAAAATAAATTAATATCTTCATTTCCGAATATTAATAATTGTCTGCGAATTTTTTTTATAATAGTTTCAAATGCAAGTGGTGAACGATCTTTTTCTGCTCTAAAAAGGGTAAATAACTACCTAAGAAATACAATTCCCCAAGAAAGATTTAACTCCTTAGCAATTCTATCCATTTATCAAGACCTGCTAGATGAAATAAATGTAAAGTGTTATAAAACAATTTGCTAGTATAAAGACTTGAAAACAACCTTTTAATTATTAGTATTAGGATTTCTCAATATTTATTTAAACCAAAGAATAATGTTTTATTTATTTATAACTTTTGATTAGTTTTTCTTAGTAGTACTTAGTATTGTTTATATAAACCAAAGAATGTTTTATTTTTTAGTTAGTGCTTTTGATTAGTTTTTATAATTTGTTTATAAAGGCTCATTTTTTATTTTATAGGATACTAAGTTTACTGTTAGATACCAGCCTAACCAACCTAATCTTCCACTTGACGTGAGAAAGTAAAACTTAAAAATTTAAAAATGTTTTTAAAAAAGTAATATTTTAAAGCATTGGGCGTTGTGTTTTTGCCAGAACCGGGCGGCGAACTAACTTAAACCGGCACTGCCTTATATGGGTCTTTTATGGTAAAATATACAAATATAAGCCTGAAAAGGGTCATTGCAAGACCTTATCACGACAGCCTTTTATCAAAATTAATATTAAACATGGATGATGAGATAACACGATTGTTATTTTTTGCAATTGGTTTTTATTAAGAACATTCTAAATCTTTAATCGATTTCAAACTTTACATTGGAAGTTAGGGTGGATTGAATTTTTTTTTATTTATTAATTGATTTTTCCTATATTATTAATTGTTGACTAAAGGCGTAAAATGAATAAATATCAAAAAAATATTCCAATTTTTTAATATCTTGAGGTGGCGCATCTGTCTCGAAGTTTTGAAAATTCTAAAAAAATATTACTTTAATCAAAGTAATAAAAATAGCATTATTTATAAATAAAAAGTTTATTTTAGTAAAATTAACGTGAAACGTAAACATATTTAATAGTAAATCATATGCTTTAAGTAACTTCAGGAGTGTTTATTGGTAGAAATGAGATCTTCTTTTTCGCGAAAATACTGACATTTGGTATCAAAATTTGGTAATTATTTTCTGACTTTAATTCTTGTTCTGATGAAACCATCTCTTGCTTCCGATCCACAAACCGAGACTGAAGATTCAGTATACTAGTTATAACCAGTTTTACACAGCGTTCCACTGCTTGGGTGTGACACGGAAATTTTTGGAAGTATAGGAAATGGTCACCCGAAGAAATCATATCGGTAATTTCTGTCATCGTATTTCATAGTCATAGGTGGTTCAGTCACCTTTTCTGTCGCCCAGTGAATTAACTCGTACAAACGTAATGCTTCAGTATTTAGTTGTGGAAGCTTTAATTCCCATAATCTCGAACATTTTGATTCTTTTCTCGCCTTTAATATTTTCGGCAATGCTAGTTCTCTCATCGATAGATATATTGTAGGTAACATAGCAAGTAATAGGATTTCGGGATAAATATTTCTCTGAATATTCTTTATAACTATAGTTATAAGGCCTTCAAGTTTTTCTGGTGGTGTAATGCTCTTTTAGTCATATTAAATATGTGAATAGGACCATGTTTGAACGTAGGCTTGGTGTTGATGTAAAACCACGTTGGGGCATACACTTTCATGATAAAAGTATACTTGGCTATAGCCAATTCTTCTAGGTTTTCCGATGGATTTGCTGTCCCCACACAGGGCCGGCTTAAGGCAATCCAGCGCCTTAGGCACTTAAAAATTTGGCGCCTATTGCTAGATACTATACTTATACTATACAATCTGGTAGCTTAAGGGCGCCCGGGCATACTAACCTTATTATCCCTTATAAATTAAAATATTTTTTATTAAAAAAATACATATAAAACATAAATAAAATTTTTTAAGACGAGTTATTTTTTTTAGACATATTTTGATTTAGTCTGTAAGTAATATCTATAGATATATACTCTCTTAAAATGAATAAGTCAAAAATAACTAATTATAAGTCATATTTGAATTATTTTCATAGCGACAAAGCAGTCACTAATAATTATTAGCAGTCACTAATTATAATTAGTCAAATTCTACGGAATGAAACAGTCAAATTAGTAGACGCACCACTGCTACTTATTAAATTTTTGATATCTGTCAATAAATATTGTTAATATTATTGTTAAAGTTGAATAGGTATACTTTTTGTGTTGGAGCTAAACTTTTTGCATCTTTATTTTTATGGACCATGGAGCCTATATGCATTTAACGCCTCAAGAATTAAAAACGATTAAAGAAATCAGTTACTTATTACTCTCAGTAACAGTAAAATATGGCGACTTATCTTAAATTAGTCAAACTTTAACAATATAAGTATACTATAGTAAAAAATAAATATTTAAAAGTAAAAACGACTATTTAATTAGTAAACAATGCTGATACTAATTGAAATAGTAGAATTTTTACTATTTCATTTCAAGAGTAAATAACCATATTTGGTAAATTATAATTATATATATATAATATAGGTGGTTTTAATAAACTTAAATTGACTTAAGAGTTAAAAAGTAGTTAAAAAAGGGTAAAATAAACCAAAAACTATCAAATACTAACTTCTTTTTAACCAAAGTTAACCAAGAAGTTAAGTTTAACTATTTTACCATAATTAAATTCCCCACTTATTACAAAATAACGTTAATTTAACCAATGGTGCTACTTGGGTAGTAAGTATTTAAAAAATGTAAAACAGCTTTAATTCCCTGTAGTTTTATGTAAGGCATTACACCGCGTTATAACAAAGGAAGCCGCTGTTTTATAAAATAATAAAAACAGTAAATAATATTCGGCGCTCTACCGTTCTCATAATTGTATATAGTTTATTTGCTTTATTTTTTGGAAAAATAAACCATTTGGTAACAATTTTTTTAAGTTGGTTGGAGACAATGCGCCTATTTTTTTTGTGGCGCCTAAGGCAATTGCCTTGCCTGCCTAATGGGTAATATGGCCCTGTCCCCACATATAAACAAATAATCCTATTAGCCCACGTCATCCATAGGGAATGTGCTAGCTTGCCTGGATCTTTGTTAGCTATAGCTAATATTTATCCCGAAAACCTATTACTAGCTATGTTACCTACAATATATCTATCGATCAGAGAACTAGCATTGCCGAAAATATTAAAGGCGAGAAAAGAATCAAAATGTTCGAGATTACGGGAATTAAAGCTTCCACAACTAAATACTGAAGCATTACATTTTTACGAGTTAGTTCACTGGGCGACAGAAAAGGTAACTGAACCACCTATGACTATGAAATACGATGACAGAAATTACCGATATGATTTCTTCGGGTGACCATTTCCTATTCTTCCAAAAATTTCCGTGTCACACCCAAGCAGTGGAACGCTGTGTAAAACTGGTTATAACCGGTTATACAAACCGAGACTGAAGATTCAGTATACTGGCCAGTATACTGAATCTTCAGTCTCGGTTTGTGGATCGGAAGCAAGAGATGGTTTTATCAGAACAAGAATTAAAGTCAGAAAATAATTACCAAATTTTGATACCAAATGTCAGTATTTTCGCGAAAAAGAAGATCTCATTTCTACCAATAAACACTCCTGAAGTTACTTAAAGCATATGATTTACTATTAAATATGTTTACGTTTCACGTTAATTTTACTAAAATAAACTTTTTATTTATAAATAATGCTATTTTTATTACTTTGATTAAAGTAATATTTTTTTAGAATTTTCAAAACTTCGAGACTGATGCGTCACCTCAAGATATTAAAAAATTAGAATATTTTTTCGATATTTATTCATTTTACGCCTTTAGTCAACAATTAATAATATAGTAAAAATCAATTAATAAATAAAAAAAAATTCACTCCGCCCTATTGGAAGTGTCTTCATAGACTTGAACATATAATTATTTATAATTTATTTTATTTTTAGACGACATGGAAAATGAAACAATGAATAAGTTTACTGACGATCTTTTAAAAGAGAAAATATTCCACTGCCAGATTTGCGATGAACTTTGCACGTCCGATATTTTCCTGGTCAAAGATAAAGGAAACGTGTGTGCGAACTGTTTTGAAGAAAAATGCGGAGAGGAAACGAAATCAAGGGCTGAACTAAACACGGCGCTCATCTTAATTCTAGCCAAGCTGATGTTACCGTGCAAGTTTAAATCCAAGGGCTGCGAGGAGAGGTTCAAGTCGAAAAAGTATTCTAAGCACATTGCTACTTGCGATTTTAAGATTAAACCGTGCCCGATGAAAAATCTTGAAGGTTGTGATTGGAGTGGGAGTGACTTTGAAGTTAGCGAGCATTTATTGAAAAATCATCAAAATCACGTTATTAAAAGTGAAAACAATATTTTTAAAGTTGAAACGTCCTTGTCAAAACCTTTCAACGTAAAATTGTTTTCTGATGATAACCAAAACTGCCTTTTAAAGACTTCAGTTGTTGATAACAAATTTTATTACTCCTTAAATACAGTTGAAAAATCAGAAGAAAATATGGAGTATACAGTGGTGCACAAAAGTACTCAAGAACCACACGATAAAGAGTTGAAAACCGTAGGTACTCTTACCAAACTGAACGGTTATTATGATGAACAAAATCTGGATAAAAACCCCAACGCGACTGTGTTAGACATCGACCTGTTGAAACATCTTGCAGATGAAAATAATATGCTTTTGAACGAATTTAATTTAAACCCTAAAGGAATAGATGAGAATATGCTGAAATTATTGGAATGTCCCGTATGCATGGACGTAATGAGACCTCCAATATACCTGTGCAATCGTGGACATGGCATTTGCATCGTATGTCGTGGAGAAGTCAGTGAATGTCCTACATGCAAGGATAAATGGACCAATGTTAGAAACTTCTTTATGGAACATTTTACAACCAATGTAAAATATCCCTGCAGGTTTAAAAAATCTGGGTGCAATAAAATCAAGGAAGATGAAGACATCTAAGTATAATAGGTAGATATAATAAACATAACATTGTACATGACATTGTTTTGGGTTTTTATATAATAATTAATTTTTCTGATATATGTATGTATTTTCATTTCCAATTAACGTCGGTGGACATGTCCACTGTTTTCTTAAAAAAATACGGTGTGTGAAAAATAAAAATTGTTTGTATGACAATCAACAAATAATAGAGATTTCTCGGAACTTGAAATTTTTTCGAAAAAACGCCGTAAAGTTTTATATTGAGGGGGACAATTTTTCATGGCAAAATTAGGTTTCTCACCCTACCCCTTGCGCCCAGGAGCTACCCCCTTAAGAATTTGAATAGGGAAGGGGTATCGACTAATACATTATTTTAAAGGTCTTTAAAATCCCTATACATCAATGTTTTATTTTTAAAATCGGTCTGTTTATTTTTGAGATATTTTAGAAAAACCATGCAATATGCTTCTAAAACTTCCCACCTTAAATTTCTTGAAAACTGGAAGAATTTGGAAAAAACGCGGACACACATAAAGTTTTATATCGAGGGGGACATTTTTTGGCGCTACTGCTACTTTAACCTCCTTGAGTTCTGCAACCCCTAACTCAAAAATTCTAAATTGCAAAAGGTATCATGGCACATCATTTTAAAGCTCTTTAAAGAACAATTTTTATTACCGATCCTGCAAAATTTGGTCAAAACGGCTTTGGTGAGTTGAATCTCTAATGTCTATGTTTAATAAATTTCGGAACTAAACAAATTTCATCGATGAAAATATAAAAATGAAAGAAACTGGGGTCCCAAGCAACAATTCAAGTATTTGTTACGTATATGGAACTATAGAAGAAACTTAAAAGTGTTTTTTGCAAAAGTCACAGGTCTCTTTATATCACTCTTTCATTACTACATTACTTCATTTCATATTCATATTTGTATTGCATTTTCTTTTGTACGCAAAATTTCTTGAAATAAACATTATTATTATTATTATTATTATTATCATTACGACTAAAGTGGGGAACAATTATTGAGTTCCAAAAAGGTAACAAATATGTCACTAGCTATAAACCCTGCTACTATTTGGAACGTAGCTGCTACGTTACTAGAACGTTCCAATATCGTTGCTAGAGCGTTATAATTACTTTTATTTATTTGTTTTTACTTATATATTAACTGTCTTTGTCAAACTTATTTATAATATATAATATATTAGAGGTAAATTTATAAACCCTTTAAATTTTACTGTTGAACTTATGAATTTAGTTTTTGTAAAATAAATGCGCTTCATCAATATTTAAGTATAAACAAATTATTTATTTAATAATGTTTATAAATAGAAAAATCCTAATATTTATTATTAATTTTTAATTTCATTATTAATACCGTCTCCCAGATAGCACAAAGGTATACTATGGACGTCCAATGGACGTATGCTCGTGGACGTCTGTATGTACATAGGATGTCCATTTTTTTCTATGGACGTCCCATGGACATCCGTTTAGAGTCCAGATGTCACAACTTTGGACATCCATAAGTCGTCCACCGATGGACGTCTATAAGGTGTTTAAACCATTCCTCCAGCATCCAGGACCTGCTTTTTTGCTTACTTTAACTGTTTTTTGCGACTGTATTTTCATTGCGATGTTGCAGAAAATTTTCTACAACATGACTGAAATGCCTTTTGTCTGGCTCAGTAACAATCCCACTAGGAATATAAATATTCTAAAAGTTGTTAAAACTTTTAACTTAAAAGTTACAACATTCAATGTTAAACATTTCAGGAAATCCTTGTATTCGAATATTACATTTGCAATACTACAAGTGTTTAACATTTCATTGATAGCTTAAGTCCTTTATAGCCCGCGCTTGCTTGAATGTCAGTGAGATTGATCATAACTGTTGTTATGCAGCCAACAATACGTTTTAACTACATTTCCGTAATAATAATTATGGACGTAAAATGGACACTATATGGACGTCCATTAAAATCGTACAAAGGATGTAAATATATGGACGTACATAGTACATCCATTTTTAGTCCGTGGACCAATGTACTTAAAATGGATCTTAAACGGACGTCCATTGGACGAATGGTGCTATCTATAGTAGTATTGCAAATGTAATATTCGAATAGCTATTACCAACTAAATTACTATTTATTAAAAAGTAAACAACCATTTACAAACAAATAAAATAATTTATTATTTACATTACCACGTGGTACTGTACAGTAAAAATGGCCCATAAGAAGCATTTTAAAAAGGAATTCCTTTGAAGTAGTTTTCGCTACTTTAAAGTTTTTTTCCACCTTAATTTACTTTACGGTAGTTTTGGTTAGTACCGTAAACGTTCCAAATACTAAAATAATAACTTTTAAGTTATTAACTTTGTAGTTTTTAACTTATGTTCCAGTTTCGAGACTTTAACTTGCAAAGGGACTACAAAGTAAAAATAATTATAATGTAATCTTTTGGTAGCAACCGAAAGTAACTGATACAAATTAAATTTACTTGAAAGTTTTTTTTACTTATAACACTTTTTTTAAAGTTGCAAAGTCTTCTTGGGGGCAACCAAGTTTTACTTAAATGTTTATTACTTTATAGTAACCATTTAAGGAAAAATTAAGTTTCTGTTACAAAATATTGCTATTTAAAAGTTAGAATTACTTTTAAGTGAAAATTAAAGTAGCTGTTTAGTATACTTAACTAATTTAAAGTTATCACCACTTTGGCAATGGTTTTTCGAACCAAAAATGCTGCTGGGAGGGTTTTGAATCCAGGCTTTATTATTGTTTGCAAGAGAACGAGGGACATTTGGAAACTTTTGACCTAAAAATATTATTAAAAAAGTTTTTTATTTTCAATTGTAATTGATAAATAAATTTGTATACCTATTCGTTTAAATTTAGTAAAAACCAATTTCCAAACAATAAATATTGTTTTATTTCTTAACAACCAACCGATTAATTACAAAATTAAAACAAAACACAGTTGTATTGCAAATTAAACGAGCTTTAAAATAATGTGTCACCTTTTGGAATTTAGGATTTTTGAGTTAGGGGTTGCAGAACTCAAGGAGCAGTAGCAATAGCAGTAGCGCCAAAAGTTGTCTCCCTCGATATAAAACTTTACGTGTGTCCGCGTTTTTTTCCAAATTCTTCCAGTTTTCGAAAAATTTAAGGTGGGAAGTTTTAAAAGCATATTGCATGGTTTTTCTAAAATATCTCAAAAATAAACAGACCGATTTATAAAAATAAAACATTGATGTATAGGGATTTTAAAGACCTTTAAAATAATGTATTAGTCGATACCCCTTTCAAAATTTTTTCAGGTTCCGAAAAATTTAGGGTGGTTCGTTTTAAATGGAACACACTGAATAATAATCGTGTGGAATGTAATAAATATATTATAAATACAGACAAAGAAAACAATTACACAATTTTGTATTTAAATTTTTTAATTATGATAAAAAAAATATTTAAAAAAATAAAAAATAATAAAACAATTACAATAATTTGTATTTAAACTTTTTAATTATGTTAAAAAAAATATTAAAAAAAAATAAAAATATGCAAAAAAAACAAAAAAAATATAATTAAATATTTTATATAATAAAAATTGGAAAAAAATATTATTTTTTATGAAGAATCTTAAGAATAGTATATTATTATACGAGAGATAATGCAGGCTAATATTCACGAGGATGAGGTTTACGTCTCGAGTCGCCAGAGAAGAGACCTAAATCATCCGAGTGAATATTGCGCATAATCTCGAGTGCAATACTATACTTTATCTGCTCCATTAAGTAGGTAATTAAATGATTTTAAAAATTAAATAAATAAAATCTGACATCTGTCAAATGGTTAACCTTACTTTTTACCAATTTTAAATGTTATTATAGTCGCCTTCTTCCAATTTAAAACCCGATTGGTTCAAATCACAGTGAATACTAAAATCGGCCAATCACTGATGCCTAACAACGTGAATACTGAGTTTATTATTCCCGTTGTTAGGCAGGAAATTTATAATTCTTAACAATATTCACGGAAAAACCCCAAAATTATGCAATAGGAGTAGATACAAATATTTTAATTTGTTTTGTAAAATAAGGCCTTTCTTTGATTTCTGGCACGTTGCTTGGAGTTGTTCAATTAATTTGAGCATACAATCCAACTGTATGCATTATTTGATAATTATCATAATTCGTTCTTTATTTTTTGACTTTTTTCTATTCCATTTTCAAAAATATATTTATAATTAAAGGGATTAGAAGCAAAAGGGTACAAATTTAAAAATGGAAAAAAGGTAAAAATATAAGACAAAAGTATAGCTTTTCTATTAATCTATTTTTTAAAAGAATACATATTTTAATTGAATAATTTATAATATTTTTCAGTAGGTGTAGGTTACTCCACTTTTGTTGATAAATGTAATAGATAATAGAGGTCGTTACAGTAACGCGCTATATACTTCATGAAATTTAAATTGGTAAATGTTCAAAGATGGAAAAAGTATAAAACAACACAACGCATTAGGAAGATTTAATTTAAAAAAATTAAAAACTTTAAAAGTTGGTAGATTTTTCTTGCAAAGTAGTAGATTTGAGCAAGACACTAAAAGTTGGTAGATCTACCAAAAAGTTGGTAGAGTTGGCAACCCTGCCCCTTAAGTAAGTGTTGGCAAAATACCGAGTTTTGCTGATCAAATTTTGGAATAATTTTATATGGAATTAAAAGACATTGTGAAACACCTCTAAGGGCTTGATAAAGCATTTGTTACAAATTATTTTCACCCTTTTTTACCCACATTTTTAACAATCCCTACCCATATGGGTTACATATGTTACATGATCCCTGTTGCTTTTATAAGTTAAATCATTCTCTGCCAAAAAGTAATAGAGCAGAGAAAATTTCCGCAATTGAAATTAAATGGAAGTCACCTAATATTGTTTATTTAACTTTATCTTAAATACCTAGGTATACTTGGTTAATACTTTGGGTAATGTTTTGAATACGCATTTTCATTTTGGTAGGAAAAAGGGTTGATATTGCATTGTAATTCTACACAATAAAATATGAAAAATCCAAATGATAAAAAAAACAACTTGATAGGTTATAAAGGATTTTCAAACATTACTGTTTAAAAATTGTATACTGGGTTGCCTAAGACATAGCGTTAAACACAAAACATATTTTGTGGGAAGTTCGAGGAATTTTGAGGGGATTAGCACTATACTGAAGAACATTTGTAATATTTATTAATTTATTGATAATTCGTGATTTAAACATCGCAAATCCCTGAACATTTATAAAATCTAAAGTTTCGCCATCTGGGTTGCCTATGCACCGATATATATCCTTAAAATATATCGATGCAAAATAAAATTTAATTAATTAATATTATAGATTCTTTATTAAGACCTGTTTTTTCTTGATATACAGGGTGTTTCATAATATATGCGCAGGACTTCAGGATGTGATAGCTCATCCAAAAAGATGAAAAAAGTCGCTATTAACTTACCCTCTAAAATGCACAATTTTCGAGATACAGGGTGTTGAAATTTTGGAAAAAAAATCGTTTTTTTCGATTATCTCTGGAACCGTTTGTCGTACAAAAAACAGCTTTTGTAAGCATTTTCTACTCATAATAAGCTATGTTTTGTGCCAGAAAAATTTTTTTTTTACTCCTAATTGGTGGAGATTTTGAAGGGGTAGCGGGTGTTTTTCTCTTCAACTTCAACGCCCCTGAAAAAAGTACGGTTTTGAGAGGCCCATTCGAACCGCCAATGTTTTCTACACAAAAAAGGTACTTTTGGTCATAAGCTCTAAAGTTGACCGTTTTCGAGAAAAATCAATTTTTATGTTTAAAAACATGGTCAATTTTTAAAAAAAAAAATTTTATTACTAATTAAACAAAATTTATTTTAACGTTAGAAAAAGTAACAAAACCAAACGACAATTGCAAAATTAAAAAAAAATTAAAAAATGATTTTTTACACAAATGCTGAAATGTTCGAAATGCGTTACCTTTACGGTTTGGAGAATTTAGCAAAGACAACTTTTGAATCATTTTTTATTTTGCAATTATGGTTTGGTTTTGTTAGTTGTTCTAACGTTAAAATAAATTTTGTTTAATTAGTAAAAAAAAATTATTTTTTTTTTTAAATTGACCATGTTTTTAAACATAAAAGTTGATTTTTCTCGAAAACGGTCAACTTTAGAGCTTATGACCAAGAGTACCTTTTTTGTGTAGAAAACATTGGCGATTCGAATAGGCCTCTCAAAACCGTATATTTTTCAGGGGCGTAGAAGTTGAGGAGAAAAACACCCGCTACCCCTTCAAAATCTCCACCAATTATGAGGGAAAAAAAAAATTTTCTGGCACAAAACATAGCTTATTTTGAGTAGAAAATGCTTACAAAAGCTGTTTTTTGTACGATAAACGGTTCCGGAGATATTCGAAAAAAACGATTTTTTTTCTAAAATTTCAACACCCTGGATCTCGAAAATTTTGCATTTTAGAGCGTAAGTTAATAACGACTTTTTTCATCTTTTTGGATGATTTATCACATCCTGAAGTCCTGCGCATATATTATGAAACACCCTGTATATCTGGAGGGATTTTTTTGAGGAATTTGGAATATTGGCATTGGCAACACTTTGTTTAGTGTACAAAGTTGTTTTTTGTTATAACATATTGTTGTTTTTATAAGGAAGATTAACCTCTACGATCTGTGAGAATAACATTTATTTTTGTATTTTGATTTATTGAAGGTGTTAATTTAGTTATAACTATAGTTATATATTCAGGTAAGTCTTTTAATTGGTTTCTATATATAGCTATACTGCCCTACTATGGAGAAAGGCAGTAACTGCAAAAAAATGCAAAATGCGTTTTCTTGTGCTATGGTAAAGCTATGGACATTTTGTAACCGAATTCAACACAGAAATGCAGTCAAATAGGTATCTCATATTTAAAAAAAATCTATTAAATACCTACTGCTTTTTGTAAAAATGTAGTTTATGCTAATTTTCCACAAATTTCTTGTTTAGCAGTTACTGCCTTTCTCCATAGTACCTAGGTACTCACATTTTAATTTTTCTAAATATGCGCTTGTCCTGTAGGGTAGGAGTACCATTAGCGGCCATCACACCAGTTCCGGCCCCTTGAAATTTGTATTCGATTTATTAAATAGGGATATAATTGCATTCCAAAATTTAAATTTACCGCGTGAAATCAAATAGTTTTTGCCCCTACTTATAAAAAGTATCGGTAGATAGCACCACTGAAGTTTTAATGGCGGATACGTGAAATCAGCTGTGTGTTGTTTGGTAAAATTTCTTAAAGTTTTCGCTAAGAAAGAAGGGTAAGTTCATATATTAATAACTTTTTGGGTCACTAAAATAGTAGTAGCAAACATTTAGTTACAGGTTATTGATACTCCAAGATTTATATTTTTGTTTAAAGTGCTTGTATAAAATTACATTGTATTTATTTAATTAGGGTGGCCGGAACCGGAGCATAGAAATATACAAAATATCCGGTTACGGCCATCCTAGTGGCCTCAATAGGAGTATGGTTTTCGAGTTGCGGCCATAGTGGCCGAATTAGGTACTTACCTGTATGTTATTCGGCCACAATTTTTTTAATTTGGGTTAAGGTAAAAAATACCTATTTTTTTAAAACCTTTTTATTTTAGAACCTAATGGCAAAGACTAAGAAAATTCATAAGAAAACTCGCTTTAACCCAACATTGTTTAATTACAATGCCGAACAGCTCAAAAATGCATTGGAAGCCATTAAGAATGGGATGCCAGTTTTAACAGCCTCCAAAACCTTTAAGATCCCAAGAAGCACTCTTAGGTATAAAGCATCTGGTGCCCGGCCAGAAAGTTTTGGAAAAGTCGGCCCAAATTGCGTTTTGGGAGATGATGTTGAAAAGTTGTTGTGTGATTGGATGAAAGCGTCTTGTGCAAAAGGTTTTCCGGTAAACAAAGATGGTCTTTGTTATTCTGTACAAAAGATCGCCAATGAAACCAAACAAAAAACTCCTTTTACCAACAATCGTCCTGGGCGGAAATGGTTCGAGTCGTTTATGAGTCGTCATCCAGAACTCTCAGTTAAGCAATCGGAATACATTAGCAAGGCTCGCGCCGCTGTTACAGCTGAAAAAATTAGAAAATGGTTCCAAAATACCTTGGATGATCTAGGGAACCACGCAACAGTGCTTGAGGATCCAAAACGTTTATGGAATATGGATGAGACAGCTTTCTACCTTAACCCAAGTGGAGGCTGCGTTATAGCTGAGAAGGGCAAACACGTGTATGCTACGTCTATGAATAGTGACAAAGAAAATGTCACTACTTTGATTTCTGTTAATGCGGTGGGCGATTATGCTCCCCCGTTAACTTTATATAAATTTGAGAGAATTCCAGCAACATACTTTAAGTCGGCACCACTTCATTGGGGGATTGGTAAATCCAAAAATGGTTGGATGACTGCAGAGACATTTTACGATTACATGGTTAACGTTTTTCATCCGTTTTTAATTGAAAAAAAGTATACTTTACCAGTAATAGTGTTTTTGGATGGACATTCCTCACATTTAAGTCTCCAGTTAAGCAAATTTTGCAGGGATAACGGCATAATTGTAGTGTGCTTATATCCAAATACCACCCATATTTTACAGCCACTAGATGTAGCAGTCTTCTTCCCACTTAAATGTCATTGGAAAAAGGAATTACGAACCTGGAGAATGGAACATAATGGAAGGGAAATCCGCAAACAAGATGTACCAAATCTTTTAAATAGTATATTAACAACAATATCATTCAAAACAACCATAATTAATGGATTTCGAAAATGTGGGCTTTACCCATATGAACCAAATAATGTTGACTACAGCAAGTGTGTCAAAAAAAGTTCGACAATTCCAATTCAACCCAACGAAAACCAAACTTTAAATCCAGAAATTGTTAACATAGATTACCTCAACTTTAGGAAAGAATGCTTATCTTATATTGAAAAAAAAATAGAGGCAGAAGTTTTATCTGAGTTTATAGAAAAGCATCAGCAACAGAAAAGAACTGATAAAAGAGAAGCTCAAATGTTATTTGATGTCTGGGAAAGCATAAAGTGCGATATAGACTTAAATGAAGATAAAGAAGTTTTCGACAATTCACCTAATTTTCAAGAAGACATATTGGAATTTCCTTTTCCTGAATTTTACCAAGTTACGGCTGAAAATTCATCGACGACAGATACAGATGATCTTTCTTGGATCTGTAAAACCATTGACAAAGAGGAGATAAAATTGTTTGATGACCAGAACCTCATTAACGAAATCGATAAAAATTTGGAAATATCAGATTTGTTTAGTAATCAGACAAAAATTTTAATAGAGCAGATTGATGAAGCTAACGACAAAAATAACGCAATTGATGTTAAAACTCAAGACCAAGCATCCAACAATCCAGAAAATAAAACCAAACCAATAATAAGTGATAACGATACCAGCGAAATAGAAAAACCAAAGCAAACTGATATAGATATTAACATCGATTTGAAAAAGAATATTGTGATTAAAGCTACAAATGAAAGCAATTGTGATAATATAGAATCTAAAATTTCAACAAATAAGACTGATGAACAAAACTTGGGTTGTGAACACAAAATTAATGAAGAGAGGAATAAAGAAAATATGGATTTAAATACACAAAAAATTAATATTTTAAGCAATATACTTGTAATACCTGAACAAAAGATTAACCCAGTAGCCAAAAAAAGGACCTACACCTCAAGTGTTTTAACCAGCGCGAGTTGGATTGAAATGGAAGAAAAAAAAGAACTTATTAAACTTGATGCACTTAAGAAGAAAGAAGAAAATAAGAAAAAAAGAGATGAAAACAAGCAAAAGCGGATAGAACAACAGCAAAACAAAAAGAAAAAACACCATACAGAATCCAAAGAAATAAAAAATATTGAAGAACAAGACAAAATCTACAAAGAATCAGAAACAAACCATAGCTCAACATCACCAATTATAAGCAATGTTCAAGAAAAACTAATAAACGAAAAACCTGAAACACAAGAAGAACAAAAAAAGGATAAAGTTCAACTGACGTTTAAAGATCAGAAAAAATTGGAAGAAAATACACATGTTATTGTTAATTATGAAGACAACTTTTACCCTGGCGTAATTACAAAAGTTAGTGATGATGAATATTTTATAAGTACAATGACAAAAACACTGAACCACTGGAAATGGCCCGAAAAAATAGATGAAATAATCTATAAAAAGGACGAAATTGTTAAAATTATTAGTGCTCCCCAGAAAATTAATTCTAGGGGTGTTTTTTCGGTTCCTGAAATTCTTGAGTTAATTGAATAAAAAAAAACGTTTTTACATATGGTTAAAATTTACCTGTACCTGTACTATTTTAGTTAATTCTTGTTTTAAATAGGTAGGTAATATAATTTAATTTGTCATAAGTTTTTTTAATAAATGTTTTAATATTTTTGGGCAAACTTATTCTTTTTCCCCTTAAAACCACTTATGGCCTCAACTGGTACAATTGCTGGCCCCTACTGGTACTTCTGTGGCCGGAAGTGGCAAAAATGGGTTTGCTAGCCTTTATTGTTTAAAAGTGGTTTTAAATATTGTTTTTTCTATATTTTTTCGAAAATAAATTAATCTTTAGATAAATAACAACATTCCAAATTACATTTGGCCCAAATGAAACAAGAATCATTAAAAATATACAACTTGGAATAAAAAAAAATCCTTAATGTGGCCGCAACCGGTACTCCTACCCTATATCGTCACCCGGTGACTGTCACCGTTCTGGCAAAAGTCATTAACTCCATTTTCGTCAAAAAGTAGTTAACTACCTTAGAAAAACTTTTTTAGCATGCAACAGTCGTGGTTGCTTTTAAACTATAGTTTTAACTATACAGTGTGTCCGTAAAGTCCCGGAACATATGAGATTATTTTAAAAACAGTGAATTTTTTTTAAAAACGCTGAAACACGTCAACTTTGTTATTTTTCTAGCAATATTTTGGCATATGTAGTTGTTCCAAATTCTGCCGCGTGGCGGCGCCACAATCAAAGTCAGTTTTTTTTTATTGCAACCCTTTATTTTGTAGCATTTTTGGATAGCTACCGTTGTCCTGATTACATTGATGTGTCACATGTGGAGGGTTACATAAGAAAATTTTTGAGAAAAGCAGGTTTTTGCCGCCGAATGAGATTTTGGTATTTTGTCAAACTTAAATACAATCTATGCGTTGCTTAATCTTTTTTGGAAAGCCAATCAGAGCAGTTGCTCAAAGTTTCCACCGTAAACTATTTGGCAGTGGGCCAGCCTGTCTACAAACGAGCGTTGTACGTTTGCCAGTACCGCTGGAGTGATCATCTGGATCTCGGCTTGAATGCGGTGTCTTAGGTCGTCCAAATTTTAAGGCCTGTTTACATAGACGCGGTTTTTAAGATGTCCCCATAAAAAGAAGTCTAAAGGGTTCAAATCGGGCGATCGCGCTGGCCACTCAATTTGACCCCTTCGACCTATCCAGCGATTGGGAAAGACCTGGTTTAAATAATCTCTTACTTGCAATGCATAGTGTGGTGGTGCCCCGTAACAGCGAATAAGTTCGTCAAAACCAAAATCTCAATCAGCGGCAAAAACCTACTTTTCTCAAAAATTTTCTTATGTAAACATCCACATGTAATTAAAATAAAAAATAATAAACAAGGAATAAGAAATAAGGTGCAGTTTTATACGCAAAAATAAGCAAGGATTTTACAAAAATCCGATGCAAAATAAGAGGCAAGAACGCAACACAGTTTCAACTTTTTATTATTATAAAGGTACAACACACATGTAGTCAATATTTTATACGCATTTGTGAATTTGGTTAAAATAAGGGACAATACATTTGTTATTTTTTGGAATATAGGTATTTTTTAAATCCTTTAAATTTATTTTAAAACTGAACTACCTTCTACCTAAAATTCTTTATAAGCGATTATTAATCCTTATGGACCTTTCAATCTCAATTCATTGAAAACCGTTAAACGACACGGAATTGTTTTCACAGTCGCTCAAATCTGTCAAACTTACCTTGAGAACTTTACTATTTAAACTAATTTAAACAATTGAGAACTTTACTATTTAAACTAATTTATCACTAAAACAATTAAATTAATGAATTTGTGGTTATAACCAAAAACATATATGTTTTTTCATTTAATCTGAAGCGCAGCTACGAACGCCATCTATTCAAATTAATACAACGTTGTACGAATTTTGTTCCTGTTCCTTTCGGTTTTTCCTAATGTATTTTTTATTTAAATCACTCCTGTATTGAGGCGAACAAAAAAAATTTTAATCGGTTAAGCCATTTCCGAGTTTTTGCAGGACTAACGCACGGCGATTCATTTTTATATAAACTGCTCGTCATAAAAATCGACGCACCTAGTTTTTTGGAAAATATTTGAAAGCTCGTTATTGCAAAATTACTGAATCGATTTTGAAAATCTTTGCAAATTCTAAATAGCTGATTCTTTGACTCTTATGTCTAATTTTGGGAATACGATATTTTGCACATAGCGTTATAGGTACTACAGGGTGTTAAACGAAGAGATGTATTTTTTCCGAAATTTCAAGTTATTCCCACTCATGAGGCAGTTGAGTTTAATAGTCGTAATACCCCTCCCTAATATTAGCAAGGTAATCCCTCGAAATGTTTTCGAGATTTTATGTATATCTTGGCCAACTACGATTATATACCAATTTTTCGAAAATTGTCGTTATTCCCCAGTTGTCCAAAAAATGAGCAATAGTAGATTCTTTTACTTACGTCTAATTTTGGTAATAGGATATTGTGCACATAGCATTATACTACAGGGTGTTAAAAAGAAGAGATGTTTTTTCCAAAATTCCAAATCACCATTCACAAGGCAGTTGAGCTTGATAGTCATAATACCCCTTCCTAATAACAGGTAATCCCTCGGGACATTTTCGAGATTTTGTGGATATCTTGGATAACTACGATTATATGGCAGTTTTTCGAAAATTCAAAATAAAAACGCAAACCATAAAAAATTATTCTCGTAAACTTATGCAGGCTATATTCATACAATTTTCTACAAACGGTTGACTATGAAAGTTTAAAAAATATGGCGCATATCTGGTTTTGAGTTTGCTTCCTTCAATTGAGGAGCATCCGTGCAAAACCGGCAATATCCACTTTAATAAAATGTTGGGAAAATGGTAAAAACTCTCGGTTTCCTGGCCTTTACAGATAAAAGAAAAAGCAAACTTGAGTTTTGTGGGCTTTGTGGTACTTGATTTATAAGACATACTTTTGTTTTCAAAAACTTTATATTAAGGCCAAAATTTCAAAAAATGTTTTGTATATAGCCGGTTTTGCTCGAATAAAAAACGAATAAAATGTGAAAAAAAACCTTTATTATTCAAAAATATTAACAAAATAAATTTAGTGCAAACATGAAAAAACGGAACAAATTTTAGTAGTAGTATCGACATATCCAAGCCACATATTATTATTTATTGGATATAACCGGGTTTGCTATAAAAACGTGGATTTGGCCGGTTTTGCTCCTAAACCTACCTTTTAAATGTGATTTTAAGATGGATATAGTCGGATTTAAACAGAATTATCTTGGTTGGTTGGTTAAAAAAAAAAAACCAAAAACTGAATAAAATGGATTTAGCCGGTTTTGCACGGATGCTCCTCAATTATTCTTTTCATTTTTGTCGTCGAATTGAACACATTTTCACACAGCAAAACACATTTAAAAAAATAAAATGAAGGATGTAAGATTGCATACCACGCAAGACGAAGAGCTGCCTGCCCTCTTTTTCTGCTAGAAGAATATGGGCACAAGAACATACAAATTGGGGAAACGATGTGTTGATAACTAATCCGATACCTTTCGTAGTTGGCTCATTTTTGGGAATTAAGTGGAGAATCTCCCCCCCCGAGGGATTACCTAACTGTTATTAGGGAGGGGTATTAGGACTATCAAGCTCAACTGCCCTGTGAATGGAGATTTGGAATTTTGGAAAAAAACATCTCTTTTTTTATCATGCTATGTGCACAATATCGTATTTCCAAAATTAGACATAAGAGTCAAAGAATCAACTATTGCTCATTTTTTGGACTAAAATGAAGAATAACGTGAATTTTCGAAAAATTGCCATATAATCGTAGTTAGCCAAGATATCCACAAAATCTCGAAAACGTCCCGAGGGATAACCTAACTGTTATTAGGAAGGGGTATTAGGATTATCAAGCTCAACTGCCCCGTGAATGGGGATTTGGATTTTTTGAAAAAAAAAATATATTTTTAACACCCTGTAGTATAATGCTATGTGCACAATATCGTATTCTCAAAATTAGACGTAATTACTTAAGTCAAATAATCCACTATTGCTCATTTTTTGGACTAAAATAACGACAATTTTCGATAAATTTGCATATAATCGTAGTAAGCGATATTCACAAAATCTCGAAAACGTTCCGAGGCATTACCTTACTTATATTAGGGAGGGGTATTACGACTAACTTGAAATTTCGGAAAAAAATACATCTCTTCGTTTAACACCCTTTAGTATAATGCTATGTGCAAAATATCGTATTCCCAAAATTAGACATAAGAGTCAAAGAATCAGGTATTCAGAATTTCCAAAGATTTTCAAAATTGATTCAGTAATTTTGCAATACGAGCTTTCAAATATTTTCCAAAAAACTAGTTGCGTCGATTTTTATGACGAGCAGTTTAATTAGGTAACATAGAAATATTATTTTCGTAAGTAATATCATAAGGGCATCTAATTTTTCCGAAAAAAAATCGAAAAAACACGTTGCTATAGTAATATTCTAACAAGAAGCATGAGTGCTGGTGGCAACAAAAATCCGAGTCGAAGAGGAGGATTTTTGCACCTGCACGAATGCTTTTTGTTCAAAAATATTACTTAGCATTGTGTTTTTTCGATTTTTTTCACAGGAAAAATTAGATGCCCGAATGGTATTTGACAAGACTATTTCATGAGTAACAGTTAACAATTAAAATATAAATTGCAATTTTTGGTGACAACAGCTGTCAAGTTTTGCCGCGGGTAAACTCGAAAAAACTGCTGACAGGTGCTGTCACACAGTTTTTTCGTAAGTAATATCATAAGGGCATTTAATTTTTCCGAAAAGAATCGAAAAAACACGTTGCTAAGTAATATTTTAACAAAAAGCATGAGTGCTGGTGGCAACAAAAATCCGAGTCGAAGAGGAGGATTTTTGCACCTGCACGAATGCATTTTGTTAAAAAATACTACTTAGCATTGTGTTTTTTCGATTTTTTTCACAGGAAAAATTAGATGCCCGAATGGTATTTGACAAGACTATTTCATGAGTAACAGTTAACAATTAAAATATAAATTGCAATTGTTGGTGACAACAGCTGTCAAGTTTTGCCGCGGGTAAACTCGAATAAACTGCTGACAGGTGCTGTCACACAGTTTTTTCACCTAGAAACCATTTGTAATTCAAAATTGCGCGTTTGTGATTGGTGATTATTAAGACGAGGGAAATAGTCACCTAGAAACCATTTGTAATTCAAAATTGCGCGTTTGTGATTGGTGGAAATTAAGACGAGGGAAATAGTCATGATAATTAATTTTATTTTCAGGCAAGATGGCCAACGAAACGATGAATCAGTTTACTGACGATCTTTTCAAAGAGAAAATATTCCACTGCAAGATTTGCGATGAACTTTGCACGTCCGATATTTTCCTGGTCAAAGGTAAAGGAAACGTGTGTGGAAAATGTTTGGAAGAAAAGTGCGGGGAGGAAATAAAATCGAGGGCTGAATTAATCACGCCCCTAATGTTAATTATGGCCAAGCTTATGCTGCCTTGTAAATTTCAATCTAAAGGCTGCGATGAAAGGGTAGACTGCAAAAATTATTCCAAGCATATTGGTAGTTGCGATTTCAACATTAAGCCGTGCCCGATGAAAAATCTTAAAGGTTGTGATTGGACTGGAAGTGACTTTGAAGTTAGCGGGCATTTATTGAAAAATCATCAAGATCACGTTATTAAAAGTGGAAACAATATTTTTAAAGTTAAAACATCCTTGTCGGAACCTTTTAACGTAAAATTGTTTTCCGATGATTATCAAAACTGCCTTTTAAAGACTTCAGTTGTTGATAACAAATTATATTACTCCTTAAATCCACTTGGAAAATCCGAAGAAAATATGGAATATACAGTGGTGCACAAAAATACTCAAGAACAAAACAATAAAGAGTTAAAAACCGTAGGTACTCTTACCAAACTGAACGGTTATTATGATGAACAAAATCTGGATAAAAACCCCAACGCGACTGTGGTAGACATCGACCTGTTGAAACATCTTGTAGATAAAAACAACATGATTTTGAACGAATTTAATTTAAATCGTAAAGGAATAGATGAGGATACACTGAAACTATTGGAATGTCCCGTATGCATGAACCTAATGAGACCTCCAATATACCAGTGCAATCGTGGACATAGCATTTGCATCACATGTCGTGGAGAAGTAAGTGCATGTCCTACATGCAAGGGAAATTGGACCAATTCGAGAAACTTCTTTATGGAAAATTGTACAACCAATGTCAAATATCCCTGCAAGTTTAAAAAATTTGGGTGCAAAGTTACTGGAGTTGAAGGTGAAATCAAGAAACATGAAGAAATTTGTTCTGATTCTTTAATCAGTTGTAGATTTTATAACTTTGGATGCAAAGAGAGGGGGGTTAAAAGTGAAATAATGAAACATGAAGAATCATGTATGGTTAACAAACACAAATGCCCAGTTTGCCCAGCATTTCCACGCATAAACGATATTTCAAACCATGTGGAATACAAGCATAGAAACTGCATACTAAAGAACCAATGGTATATGATCCAAAAGTACTCAAAATGTCATGGGTATAAGGTATATGATTCAAGATTATTTAGAATATCGTATCATACTGAAGATGCATATGTTTATTTTGCTGCTGAATTGATTTGCCCCAATGGAGACCCCAGTGAGTATTTTTACGAAGTTGGTTTTTGTAACAATATATCTGAGACTGTGGATAGATCAATGACATCAACTTGTTTAAAAGAGGAGCCACTAGTTCCAGGGTTTAAAATAAAAGGGAATGTGAAAATCCATGTTGATGATTTTGAATATTTTGTTGTTTTCATCAAAGGGGGATGTAATTCAAAACAAATTAAATAAGTTATATAAATTCATAAAATAAGTTTTACGGAACATAAAATATTTTTATACTTGTTATACTTAAATAAAATTAATACATGCACAATATTTTTTTATTTAACTTTAAAATTTTCCCTTAAGAAAAATCCCAGCCCTGATAGCAAAATTTGATTCTAAAGCCTCGTACAGACTTGAGCATTGAGCCGAACAACAAGCCGAACAACGAACCGAACGGCAAACAGAACACTAATTTGGACGGGGCTGCGAACGCGTTTACGAACATGTTCGCGAATCCTGACCGTTCGGCGAACGGTTCGCCCCGTTCCCATCACTTGTCGGTTTTTCCTTCGACATCAAAGGAAATGCTCGCGAATGCGTTCGGAGGTTTGGACGGGTCAAAACAAAACGGCGAACAGACCAGTGAATTGTTCTCATTTAAGTGTTTATTTGTCTCCTCCTTTAAGTGAGTTTGTTTATTTTAATATAATTAAAATTCAACACAAGTAAATGGAGTGGACAAAAGAAAAATCTCTGGATCTAATTGATATTTATCAAAAAAAAAGAGTTGTTGTGGAAACCAAAACACCCACACCATTTTAATAAAATTAAAAAACAAGATGCTTGGGAGGAGATTGCGCAAAATTTAAATACTAATGATTTACTATTACTAATGATTTAATAATGAATAATTATTCATTAATGAATATATATATAAGCTGCTGCTGCTACTTTAGAATCTTCTAAGAAGATATGACCCGGAATAATGGAATATTCTTAGAACCTTAAGGGAATTCCCTTATTGCTAAGAATGTTCTTAGGGACTTTTAAAACATTCAATAGATACCCTTTTAATGATGCAATTAGATTCTTAAAACCTTCCTAAAAAGCATCCTAAGAAAATTTTAAGAATAAGTTTTTGGAATTTTCTTAGAAGGTTTCTTATGGAGCTTCTAGGATTAATATACATAAAAATGTTAATTCAGAAATAAAAAATCGGTATACAAATTAATAAATATTTATTTTTAACATAAAATAAAATACCTATATTAAATTATTTTTGTTATCGAATATTGTTTTAATTTGACAAATAACTATAAAAAAATATTTTGGATTGTGGTTTTTACTTAGTATTTAATACTAATTACTAATTAGGTACTTAAGTATGGGTATATACCTTTATACGTAGTTTATGGTATATTTTACTATTATATAGGTAATTGAACTAAATATATGCTTAACAGGAATATTCCTAAATGAACTTTCTATAGCAATTACTTTCTTAACATTCTAAGCATATGTTAAGAGTAGACTAATTTTTACCACTAAAACTTTGCACCTTCTAAGAACCTGCCTATGGGCCAGTTAGAATATTCTTAGGATCATGCTATGTCTTTTAAGCATGTTCTTTAGAAGAAATATAGCATGATCACTGGAAGGTTTAAAAAACATTGTTAGAATAAAGTGTGCTATCAGGGATGCAGCTCTCAAAACGATCGTGTCGACACTACACAGCAAACGGAAAATTATAGAGGTGTATAGGATGACGCCACGTTTGAATATCGTTTTCTAAATCTCCCTACGGTATAGAGTTGTATTCGTCAGTCGAGCGTTTCAATACTCTCCACTTTTGAACTAGTATTAATATAAAACTATATATATATATATATATATATATATATATATATATATATATATATATATATTGTATGCTTAAAAAAAACTATATACGACATGATTGTGATTTTTTTCATTTTATTAATTAATTAAGCTGTGTTGAATATTTTTCCTAAAGGAATAATTGCCAATGGGCCATTAATTCATTTGTTCGTAGATGCTACAATAACCTGCACTGGTGTGTACTTTTTCATCAACCAGATTTAAATATTGCTGTACTAACATATACCAGTGGAGATAGTGCAGGGTCTACCAACAGACCTAATTACTAAATTATTAAAGTTTAATAGCATATCGATCATTTTTTCAACATAACCTCTGAAATTTTTAATACAAATATAGGTATGTACTTTATATAATACATAAATATACTTAACATCATATCATCTGTGCTTTACATACCTGAGTTCCCAGCTAGCACAAACACATTCCAGCAATGTACCGCAATGTAAAATTGGGTATATTAAACCTCCCATATAACGTACTGTTGATGTAACATGTCCCTTGAGGCAACCTCCGAATTTCCGCAACATGTTTACATTTCATAATGTTTTCTGGATATTTATTTTATACATACTGTTAACGTTACTTTGAAACATTAATAAAAGTAACTATAAAACATGCTTTTTATGTGCCCAATTTACCTCTCATATATGTATTTTATTAATGAATATATTATATTATGATATAATGTTCCACAAATGTAAATTATTTGCGTACATAGGCTTTAGCCAAAGATACAGGTATCAGGCAAATTATTTTATGTTTTCATACTTTTATTTTAGTATTTGTATTATAATATAATACAAATACTAAGATAAAAGTATAAAAACATAAAATAATTTGACTGATATCTGTATCTTTGGCTATATATGTAATATTATAATGTAAAAAAAAACAAAATGTACAGATACAAAATTTTTATTATTATTTTGGATAAATTAAACAAATAAATAACTAAAAAAAGAAATATAAAAACACAAGGTAATTTGCTCAATCCCTATGTAAGTTTTAGTAAGCAAAAAAATAAAATTTAAATTATATTCAGGTACTTTAAAGTAATTACAACGTAACAAAAATTGTATTATATATACAGGGTGTCCAGAAAATACTTGTACAATGTTTGATGACTCTTGGAATCAAAATTGGTTGATAACCCATTACTCATTAAAGCTAAACAAAGCATTTTTTGATATAACTAACTTGGCTAAAATTGACCTATTTCTTTGTTATACATGTATTTTCTGGGCACCCTGTATAATATTTATAATATTAAAAACCTCAATATTCTCCAAACAACAAAATAATAAAACGAAACAAAATACCATAAATAAAACATAAGTGGCCATTTTTGGCATACTAATTTTACAGGCATGCTAATCTTACAGACATGAAACCCATACCTTTCTGAAAATACAGGGAAAGAACTTTCGCGCAAATTGATAAAAGTACAACTGATTTTAATTTGATATAGGTCCCATATCATTTACCAGAACGAACGCGAGCAAAACTATTGTTTTAAACGTTTGCGACCTTTCAAAACAGTAATTTCGCTTATGTTCGCTTTGGGTATAAGTCAAAATTCGACATATGATCCCTCGATTTTTCACTCCATGACGAAAATCACCTTCATCTCTAACAAAAATTATTTTATTAATGTGAACAGGAAGTCCATCAAATAGTTTCTTAATATTTTTGTTATTCATAAAAAAGATAAAATCAAATCAAACATGTAGGTATAAAAGAACTGTTTTAAGAAATGCATTCACATTCATATGAAGAAATTAATTTTCGTGATGATGTGAAAAACAAGACACCCTGACGAATTTTGACTCGACAAAATCTATATGTATAAAAATATTTTTATGACTAGTTATTCTTAGTTTCCTCCCTAAGTCTTCTCTGTTTAGCATGCCTTAGCCATTCGGCAAAAGTTGTTTCATAGTCCTTTCGTGTGCATTTGGTTTTTTGGTGAATTATACCTAAAAATTAAATGACATTAAAATAAGTTGGATTAAATTAATTTTTGTTCATTTACCAAATGCCTGGTTGGTAATTTCCAAATTGCCTACGGCATAGTTATTTTTTCTGCCCAACCATGAGCAACATTCTGCTAATGAATTTGTTAATAATTTTTTACAAAATCTGCTCACAAAATCTTTGTGATCATGCCCTCCAATTGTTTTAATAAATTTTTGCTAAAATAATTTTATTTAGAAAAAAAAATTGATTTTTCAAAATTACTTACATATGACTTTAAAATTGATTTGTCTGTTTTTAACTGTTCCTCGAAACTTTCTAACTCCGTCAAATTTTTTAAAGGAAAACTTAATGAAATTTCAATTTCTTCTTCTTTTTGAGGAAAGCTAACATCCATCCTTTCCTTGATTTCAACAATATCTAACTTAATTTCTGCTAACAAATTAATTATTTTATCAATTTTTTTTTCATTATTTTCAAATAGATTTTTTGGTAATCCTTCATCTAAAAAATAATTTATAACTATAAGAATATGATCCTAATGAATTGTAAAGCTACTGGGAAATGCACAATTTAACACTACAAATAATAAACTACACTACTGCATATTTGGAACCTACATATATAATATATGTATTTCTTTACAGAATACAAAATAATTACCACTAACTACATACATAAACATGCATAAAAAGGTTTTCTAAAAAGCATAATTTGTTTTCTAAAACAAATAAGTTTTATATTACCAAATACAAGGTAAATGCGTAGTTAATACAAAAATAATAAACACTAAATACAAATAAAAACATTTTTAAGAAGCATAATCTGTAAGGTCAAGCCTAACAAACCTATAGTATTTTCTTGAGTTGGATTTGTCATCTAAAACAAATTAGTACTACATTACAAAACAGAAGATAAATGCATCTCATATTTTCTATGTATCCTATCCCCAAAATAATTAAGATTTCAAAAAATAAAAGAAAACATTAGTGGAGTTAGTGGTTCTCATTTAATTAAAGCATAATATTACACTCGAGATAATAATAGCCTGCATTATCTCTCATATAATAATACACTAATAACCATTTTTATGTACTTACTTAAACTTATGTATGTGTATGCTTATTTAAAATATTATCAATTACTTCTTTATAATTAATGTATACATGCATTTCTTGATTTATTAAATGAGAACAACCCACTAAAGTTTTTTTTTTTACTTTTTATTCTATTTGGCGGAAGTTTATAAAATATAAAATATCTTTATTATTGATTTTATGTCCGTCTTCATCAAAAAATTTCTACAAACTAAGCTACTTGTATATTAATAAATTTAAAAAAGTAATTGTCAATAATGTTGTAAAATAAATAATAGAAGTATTATATTATATTATAAGAAATATAAAATATGATACTAACCTTAAACTCTCTTAATATATCTGAATCTAAAATTTAAAAAGAAATATTTTTTAAAAATTTGCTGCACCAATGTAAAATAGAATTACCTTTATCCTCAATATAAATTATTTGTGGTGCAGTTTCATGGTTTTCAATTATTTCTAAAAATAATTGTAAATTAATTGTAATCATATTAATTAAATATATATATATATATATTTAATTACCTTGGCTTTCTTCATTTAAATTCTTTAAAAATGAATTAAAATTTATGTTGTCTTCTAAAAAAAATGTGAATTAAGAGATTGCTGTAATGTGGGAATAATTTAAATTTACCACTTATTGTTTTTTTCCCCTTTAATTTTTTTGCCCGCATTTCTTCCTCAGCGGGACTAAAATAATCGCGCGGTTTAGGTATTCTACACCCCCTTCCTTCTAGGCTTTCATTTTGGGTGTTTTGGGTGCCTTCAGCCTTTTGTTTGGCCTCTGCATATGTTTCTATAAACAATAGATATAAATTATATAGGCAAATTAAATGTTTTAGCAGAGAGCCCTACATCACTTTCTGTAAATTTACAAAGTATTCTTAAAGAAATTACCTACCACAAAAGCATTCTACCTCTACTTCATACTCATCCCAATCCTCCTGGGGAGGAAACATTTTGCTTATGTAGAGGGTGTGATGTTTTGGAGGCCAATAACAATGTGAATTATTTTTTGTCAGCCAATTTGATGGCACTTCGGAAAATAATTCTTCATCACCATCATTGTTTAAAAATTTTACAACTGCAAAGTTCATCTAAAAAAAGAAGAATAGCCAAAATATACTGCAACTTAAGCAATTGACAAACACAATCAATAAAGATATAAACAACCCATCCTTTGAGGGATTCAAATTATCAGCTGTAGTGGCAAAATCAATATACAAGGTGTCCCTAAACTTAGTGGCATAAATTTAGGAGCAGATTAAGCAAGTCAAAATAAGACGAAAATCTAAATAAATAGTTTTCCTAATTACGTGTGTTTAAAAGAAACAGGGTGATAAAGTGTTACTCATATCGTATCAGTTTTTTTAATATAACTTCTACTATGGTAGACTTGGAAAGGTGATATTTTGCGAACAGTCACTTACTACCAAAACACATATTCACACATAATTACAATTGTTTGAGTGAACACAGTCCTAGAAACAGGGGTTGCTTAATCTTATTGTCCCATACAAACTTTGAGGTTAGGTTTTTATACCATTTGATGCAATTTTTCGATTACTCAGTTCGGCTACTATTAAAAAGGTGTACCTCTCAAACTTCGATAAAATTAACCGTTCTCGAGATATTCAATATTACAATAATTGTTATATTGCATTAAAGGACTAAAAGTTATATGATAAAAAAAAATTTAATTGACAAAACTACATTTTTTTTAATGTGACGGTCAGGGCAAAAAGTCCCGAGGCTCATGGAATGCCCTTTTTAGTTTTTTCAATTAAAAAATAAAATTTGTTATCATATACCTTTTAATCCTTTTAAATAATGCGATAAAACAATTATTGTAATCTCAAATATCTCGGAAACGGTTTATTTTATCGAAGTTTGAGAGGTACACCTTTTTAATGGTAGCCGAACTGTTTAATCGATAAATTGCATCAAATGTTCCAAAAACCTAACCTCAAAGTTTGTATGGGACAATAAGCTTAAAGCAACCCCCGTTTCTACGACACTGTGTTCACTCAAACAATTGTAATTATGTGTGAATATGTGTTTTGGTAGTAAGTGAGTGTTCGCAAAATATCACTTTTCCAAGTCTACCATAGTAGAAGTTATATTAAAAAAACTAATATGATAAGTAACACTTATCACCCTGTAACTTTTAAATATACGTAATTAGGAAAAATATTTATTTAGATTTTCGTCTTATTTTCACTTGCTTAATCTGCTCCTAAATTTATGCCACTAAGTTTAGGGACACCTTGTATATTTAACTTTTTTATTATTATAAATTAAAATTAAAGGTAATACAATATACAGTATGTTTAAAAACATGCAATCTATTGTGGAAATATTTATCATTAATCTCAAACAATCTGTATGATTGAACCTTTGGTTGCGGGGCATCCATAAAGTATGTCACATATTTTTTGGGGATTTTAGACAACCCTCTTCCCCTGTCACATATTATCAAAATCTATCTTACTTAAAAGAAAAGTTTTTTTACAGACCTATACTATTATAAAGGGTGGTCCAAATTGTACGTTACATAATTTGGTAATTGATAGAATAGGATAAAATAATATCAATTGTATTAATAAACTTAACCGTTTCAGATATACAAGTTGAATAGGTATATTTTTTTAAATAAATCCTGAACTAAAAATATGTATGTTTTTCTTATAATTATCACAAGTTTTTCTTATAAGTATAACAAGTATCACATTCAATCATTATAATTTGTTTTCCTACTTCAAGCAGTGGCTTAACCATGGGGGTGAGTTAACATTTTTTTAAAGGTATGCCAATGGTATAATAATTTTTTTGTACATTTATCAGCAGCCGTTTTAGTTGTTTTATTTTTAATTTATTTGAATAGTTACTTGTATTGTAGCAATTAATTACCTACAATAAATTGTAATTAACATTTTTCTGCAAAACAATACGTTGTATGAAAAACTGCAAGAAGACTTGCCTAAATCGACTACTGATAATGAGAAATGTGTAATTTTCAAATTTAAAAAGGTACAATTTGGACTACCCTATATAATATTAATAATTAAAAAATTAAATTTAAAATATTTTTAAGATTGCAATAAATATTTTTATTTGTTTAGTGAAACGGACGATCCAGACCCCCTCTCCCTATGTCATTTCGCCAAAATAGTAAACACCCTACCCCCTAAACGTGTGACGTTCTTTATGGACGCCCCCTTAGCATGTTTAAAAATTTGTATGAATAAGAGGCAATGTGACAAACTGGTTATTAAATGGTAAAATCATAATTTTACACAAAACCAACTCAGAATTAAATGTTAAAATTTCATCTGTTTTTATGCATAAATGAATACCCAATCCACGAGAGTCTATAGGATCTTTAAAAAACTCTCCTTGCGAAACAAGCGATGTTCCCTTAAAAAATATTTCCTTGTTATCTTCCCATATTTCATTTATGCATAAAAATGATCCATTTTTGAAAAGACAAATATTGTCTGGAGCAAGTGTTTTTATGATCATACCATTTAAATAAAATTCAGTTTTGGGACCTTTTTTAAACCCTGAATATATAAAATTGGGTTTTCTTTTCTCTTCCTTTAACCTCCTAATAATTTGCTGAAGGGGTTTTGCTGACTGAATACAAATTTTTTTTTTAATATGATGCATATATGATTCAGGATTAAAAGCACTAAAATTATCTAGACAACCAAATTTTAAAACATCTTTGGCCAGATGACTTAAATTGTGTACATTAAATGAAATATATTCTGGTCCATATATATCACTATATTCATTAATAAAATTTTCTAATAAATTTTGAGCACATTCATTTAAAGTTATGCACAAATTTTTTGTACACAGAATTCTTATAGCACAGGAAATTTTTAAAAAATGATTATATTTTTCTTCAACCAATATGTCTTTAAAGGCCACAATTCCTGTGTACAATAAAATTTGGCGAAATTCAGTGGCTTTAAATCTGTCTACTTCCATAAGATTTCTTGGTTTTCTAGAAAAATCATTATTTATGTATGGGCGGTATGATAGAAATATGTTATTTAAAGAACTAAATAAATTTGCAGGAATTCTAACATCTTGCTTGCCTTTGTGCCAGAATTGTAAAAGTCGTTTCATAATACCAAGACAAACAAGATGCATATAATCTAGAGGAATCTGAGACACCATATCTATATCAAGTTTTTCCAAAATAGATGTACCCAAGTGATGATCTTCATCCTCTTTTTCTCGAAATGATTTATTAGTTCGTAGTGGGTAACCTAACTGACAAAAGGTCATTCGGTTATTAAGAAAATCACCCTCCTGTGTACATTTGCCACATCCATGGTAACCATTATGACCTTTTGTCTGCGTTATGAATGCCCTAGCTGGGGTATCACAGATAAATGCATTCAACTCAATTTTAATTGTTTTACCATTCCAATCTATGCCAGATTCTTTAATAAAATTATATTCATCTACAAACATCTTTAAAAAATCATTAGAAGATTTTGGTTTATGAAAACCATGATATATTCCAATAACAAATGGAACCATTTTAATTTCTTTAAATGTATTCGGTTCTAACCAACCCAAAATTGGCCAAAATTGACTACCCGAACTTTTTGTTAATGGTAACCCATCAACGTTAACATTTAATTTTAAAGTTAAGGGAATATCCACATCTTTGGGTAATGAATTTAGATCTTTTAACACAGACTCTTTTAAATTCATATGGTAATAACTTCCTGGATCCAAATTCATAACTTCAAGATTACGTGGCGTACTTAAAAGGGTTCGTGCATCACCAGGTACATTTAAATTGTGGTTTTTTAAAATTTTCAATAATTTAGTTACATGTATAAGAGCAATATTACATTCAAGTACCCAGTCGTTTAAATTACTAATTAGTTCTGTTGACATACTGGCTCGACAATCACCACACAAACATTTTGTTTGTTCTTCGTCTGATTCCTCAGATGATATTTCTGGTGATGTGGTACCAAAACTACTATCCACAAGTGTTGTATTCACAAAAATATTATCTATGGAATCAGCTACATCAGGATTAGATATAGAACTACAAGTTTTAGAAGTGCCAGCAATAAGATCCTGTGTTTTTGGTATTGGAGATTTAACACTTGTTAAGTTCAAAATACCCGTTTTTATTTGTTGTCTCAAATTCCTCTTTTGCCTTTCTGATAAATGTATTAACGGTTTTCTATACATACCTTCGCTTTTGTAACCTACAACTTGTAGGTGTATATAAATTAATGTATTTAAAACTCAACAAAAAAATTTATATATACCTACTGCAACAACACAAAAGTATAAACGAAAAACCCTTCACGCAATCAGAGATAAATACAAAGAATCAGAGCTCTAGTTTATAGAATGCTTGCTACCATAAAAAAGGAATACTTACACTTGCTAAATTTTCACACTTTGCTTGCTACGCTTGGCGTTATCTATGGCTTGGCGGGAAGTAACATAACCAAAGAACATACATAGAACATAACCAACAGCTGTTTAGAGCGGTAAATTGTTGCCAACATAGTAAAGGCAAAATTGACACAATTAAATTTATAATTTTAATTATCAGGCTAAAAATACTACCTTTTAATAAATTATATTTTAATTATTTTATAAGTTTACTAATCAATGAATCATAATTTGACCATTTAAGCGTTTTATTTTAGTTATTTATTTTTATATTGTTGGATATGGTAATCACGTGACAAATAATATACCCCTAATTACTTTTATTTACATATGTGGTACATTTCTATTAAATGTTTACTGCAGGTACTTCTGTTATGATATATTGATGTAATTGTAGCCATATGAATGCATCCCTTGTTTGCAAGACGTTGTCAACACGTCGATTAGGACCACAATTTATGGCCCTCCGAAGTTATTTGTTTGTTTATGTCTGGCAGAGAGGCGGGCGACGTCGGCAAGTGTCGAATATACGTTTTTAAGAAAAGCAGGGCATTCAATTAGAACCTTTCGATAGATACACTAGACTTTAGTTTTTGTTTGATTGTTTTATTCTAAATAGTAATTAAAGCTTATTTTAAATCATAGTCTAATTTCCTTTATTTTAAATTAACATAGTTTACAGTTCAGGTGCGGGGTAAACTTACGTGAATTTACGGTTACCTGTGTTTTAGTTAAGTTAATTATTTAGTGATTAGTGTTAAGTTACGTGAGTGTAAAACAAAAAGAGAAACGATGGGCAAAGGAAAACGACGTTGTCGCCCTCGTAGCTCTAGCTCTTCGAGTAGTGATTCCAGCAGCGAATCGTCAAGCTCTACTGATAACAGATACAGACGTACGCGATCTGAACGGGGCTATACTCCACCGAGACGAGACAATAGGCCACCCTCTAAGGAAGGAGCCGGTACACGCAAGCGACAGTTACGCACGTCGCGAGAAAAGGTAGCATCAAGCACATCTCGCGGTTTGAGTTACGTATCAAACAAAAGCGATATTGAAGAAAATACTAGGTCCAGCCAATGTTCGAGCGATACATACGAGGCCAGGATAAAACAACTAGAAACAATAATAGCGGGAATGTCGAATCAAAATCACAATTCCGGAAATCGTAGGTTAGCAGTAAAGAGTGATTGTATTCCTGAATTTTGTCCCGAAAATGAAAATATGTCCGCCGTTAAGTGGCTAGAGAAAATTGAGGAGCTTAAACAAATTAACGATTGGGACGAAGTAACGACAATTTACCACATGCAAGCTCGATTTTCTGGAATGGCGAAATCTTGGTATCACAGTTTAAGTTCGATACGACATACCTGGCCCGAATGGAAAGTTTTAGTTGCCAAGACTTTTCCCGACCATGTCGATTACGCTAAGGCCCTTAGGAAAATGTTAAACAGAGAAAAACTGTTAACTGAAACAATGACAGCATATTATTTCGGCAAGATGGAATTATTAAGAACTTGTCAAGTAACAGGAAAGAATGCAGTTTCATGCATAATAGATGGTATTCCAAATGCCGCTATTCAAAATGCTGCTCGTGCGGGTCGTTATGACAAACCAGAGAAACTTTTTGAAGGATATTTATCAATGTTACGTGAGGAAAGTACCATTGAAGTATCGACACAAAAGACAGAGGGTTCGATAAGGCGACCCCCAAAAGTGGATTTACGTCATTCACTTACACGTAATAGTAAACCGTACGCAAAATCAGATGTTTTAAATGTGAGATGCTTTAACTGTAAAATGAAAGGTCATTTTCAGTCAAAGTGTCCGAAACCACGTGTTAGTTGTTCAAAATGCCATCTGTTAGGACACGAGGCCGATCGTTGCACTGTAAATGTGGGAAAACGACCAGCTGATCGACAAAATAAGGGTGAGTCGAAACCAATTTTAATATTGTCAAATAATCAGTTGTCTAGTACTTGTTATTTTATTGATTGTATAATCAACGATGAACCTATACGGGGCTTTGTAGATTCAGGTTGTGCCGCAGTCACAATTCGTGAATCGGATGCGCGTAAATTAAATTTACAGGGTGAACCTACACTAGTACGTTTGTGTGGTTATGCAGGAGGTTCTGTTGTAGCACGTTCAAAGGTTACAATAAAATTAAATGTTGATTTAGCTTTTGCTACCGTAGACGCACTCGTGGTACCTGATAATGTACAGGATGTTCCTATTATTATAGGCCAGCCATTTTTAAATAATGATAATGTCACAGTTTTAGTTAGGGGTCACCAGGTCCGACTTTTTAATCAAAATAACGTCAATATCACCAATATCGATGACTTTTTATCTAAGAAAATTGATTTATGTGTCGAGGAAACTGCTATTATCCCACCGAATTTTATAGGTCATATTTCGCTAATTAGACATGAAAACGTTAGGGATGTTTTTGTAGATCTAAAGTATCGAAATTGGAATAATAATTTTCACATTATTTTACCGTGCGTTATAAATATGAATAATAGTAGTAGCATCCCTGTTGCCAAAATATCCGATAAGCCTGTTTGTTATGAAAAAGGCAGGGTACTTGCCAGAGGCTATACATGTAATGCAGATTCGAAAATACCATCTAAAACTTGCTTAACAACAAATATTGCTGATTTGCCACTTTTTACATTATTAGATATCGAAAGACAAACTAATTTAGAACTAGACAACATTACACGTTCTAAATTACTTAAATTAATTAACGAATATAGGGATTGTTTTGCTACAAACTTAGGGGAGGTTGGTAAAACAAACGTAACGGAAATGTCGATCTCACTATCCGATAGTGAACCAGTAACGTATCGCCCTTACCGTATGCCTTTCACAAAACGCGAAAAAGTCCGCACAATAGTCCAAGACCTTATTGATCATGGTATAGTTCAAGAGTCAGAGTCTCCTTATGCTAGTCCTATACTGCTAGTAAAGAAAAAGAACGGCGAAGAAAGAATGTGCATAGATTATAGGGCCATAAATCGCAAAACTATTAAAAATAAATACCCACTGCCACGAATTGATGACCTTCTAGATAATCTAGAAGGAAATACTTATTATACAACGTTAGACCTCGCCTCTGGGTATCATCAAATCCCGATGGAAGAAAGTTCCATATCGAAAACTGCTTTTGTAACTCCAGATGGCCATTACGAATATTTAAGGATGCCTTTTGGGTTGGTAAATGCACCAGCAGTCTTCCAAAGGGCTATGAATAAAATATTAGGTCCTTTACGCTTTGACAGTGCGATGGCATATCTTGATGATGTACTTATACCGTCAGTGTCTCTAGAACAAGGCATGGAACGGCTCGAAAATGTCCTAAATCTTTTTAGAGATGCTGGATTGACATTAAGATTTAATAAGTGCCATTTTCTTCAGTCTAAAATTGAATACCTAGGTCACGAAATAACTGGAGGGGGTATTAGACCTGGTCGCGATAAAATAAAAGCCGTAGCAGATTTTGCAGCACCCAAGGATGTTCACGAAGTTAGGCGATTTTTAGGACTTGCCAGTTATTTTAGAAAATTTATCGAAGGATTCGCCGCCATCGCTAAGCCTTTAACTAAGCTAACATGCAAAAACACTCCCTTTGTATGGGAAGAACAACAGCAGAGTACGTTTGACAATTTAAAAAAGAAGCTAGTAGAACGGCCCATTCTGGCCATTTATAACAGAGAAGCGGAAACGGAAGTACATTGTGACGCCAGTAAGGTTGGGCTAGGGGGAATCCTTTTACAACGGCAAAAGGATAATATTCTTAAACCAGTGCAATATTTTAGTAGAGCCACCACCAAAGAAGAGCAACAATACCACTCTTATGAGCTTGAAACTTTAGCCGCTGTATGCGCTCTAAAGAAGTTCAGGATATATTTAATTGGTATAAAGTTTAAAATTGTTACCGACTGTAACTCACTACGTCACACCCTTATGAAACGAGACTTAGTTCCCCGTATCGCTAGATGGTGGTTATCAATTCAAGAGTTTGACTTTGATATCGAATACCGTGCCGGAACTAAAATGAGCCATGTAGACGCATTGAGCCGAAGTACCATTATACCTACGGATCAATCACTTGACGTAATGATTGTAAATATTGAGGAGGATGACTGGGTGCTTTCAGCACAACTCCAAGACAACACATGTAAAAACATTATAGATATTTTGTTAAGAGAACCTAAAGATAACGATGAACGAAGGATCCATAAGGATTATTGTTTAAGAGATAGACGACTTTATCGAAAAACAGAGAACGGAAAAAGATGGGTTATTCCAAGAACAGCTCGACGAAGAATACTTATGTACTATCATGATGATGCCGGTCATTTTGCAGTAGATAAAACTGTGGAATCGATAAGTTCAAGATATTGGTTTCCGTCGATGCGCCGATATGTTAAAAATTACATTAATTCTTGTTTGGGCTGTCTTTATAATAAAACCCCTTCTGGTAAAGTTCCCGGTAGTCTAAATCCTATAGAAAAACAGCCTAGACCTATGGATACATTACATTTGGATCATGTAGGCCCATTCATAAATAGTATTAGGAAAAACTCGTATCTTATAGTAGCAGTTGACGGCTTTACCAAATTTGTATTTTTAAAGGCGGTTCCTAATACAAAAACCGGCCCTGTATTGAAATTTCTAGATGAGGTAATAGAAATGTTCGGGGTTCCCCGCAGATTTATCTGCGACCGTGGCACGGCTTTTACAAGCAAGAATTTTAAAGAATACTGTTTAACTTTAGGTGT